CAGATTAAAAAGGAAAATGTGCAAATTATTTTTGTCATTCACCGATCGTATTATTGACGGAAGCTTCTAGAACATATAGCATCGAGCCCGATGTTAAAAAGAAAATAGCTGCTTTAACATAAAAAGAAACCTTTTGTGTGAATGGTCATTGAAATAATGGTAATTCATTGATAACACTGTAAGTTGTGAATATATTTATATTTCGAAAGAGTATTACATATAATTAGTAGGTTTTCCTAATAAATTTATCGGTAAAAATTTGTATATATTCCTCACTGGGAGCATCGTGGCAACAAACCCGAAGTACAATTTGGACTTAATTCGTAATAAACCTGCTTACATGAAAAAAGAAAATTAATGAACAAGGCATTGTTTAAATACAATTATGCTGTAAAATTTTGTACTTTAATCAACACATTTCATTTTTTTTTTCTGAAACAGTCTTTTGTATCAAATACTCGGCCTATTCCAGTGGCGGATCTAGGAATTTTGAAAAGGGGGAGATCAGTTTGGGGTTGGGGTAGGGGCCCACAGACAGATTTGTTAAACTTTATGTATATTTTGGACACAAAATGGGAGGGGGGCTGGGCCCCCTCTAAATCCGCCAGTGCATTCATAGGGCGTTATATAAAAGCTAATTTTTACACATGTACTTGGGTCTTGGATTATAAATATGTATGTACCTTATTGATATGCAAAAAAAAAAAAAAGAGGTAAGGTACAGTTTTTACATATCAATAAGGTACATACATATTTATAAACCAAGACCCAAGTACCTGTGAATTTTTACCCAAAAAATCAATTTCTCAGTAAAATGTGCATTTCATGACGGAAATGAAATAAGAGTATCTGAAGTACAATATCCATAACACAGTATACAATATCCATAACATGTATATAACAGGTTTCACAATAAACGTCAATTAATGAAATTGTTATTTGAGTTTTACGGGGGGGGGGGGGGCGTACTTCTACTTCATGCGGGATTTTGAACAAAGTATTTCTTCCTGCTATAAGCTTGTTGGCTGTCAGTAGAAACTACAATTTATATATTACTGGATTTTTTCTGTCGGTAGTGGTATAAATTCAATTCCCCGGGCTTGCGCGGGATTTCATCTAGTAAATACAGAAAAGTCTCCTTTATGTAATAATGCTGTGAAATTTGTATCCATTGGCATTCCGAGAGATTGTTGGAAGACTTGATCTCCAACATCACATAGATATTGTCAATAGGGAAACTCAAACATCTTTCAATATTAACTTCAAAAACGTGTGTGTACAATGTTTCAGAATGTTTAAACAGAATGATTTTGCAAATTACCACTTACAAGTGAAATAAATTTACGAGTTATCAAAAGGTGCGATATTGCTTTCTATAATAAATAATGAATAAAAAAATACATGTAACGTATTTACACGGATCATTAAGTGTGTAATTCATTTTTGTTACGTATTAAATTTTCATTAACGTGGTAATGATACTTGCTACAGGATGCCTCACAAATATTAATTTAGGCGTTCCTTAACATACCTGTGTATGTCGCCATTTTCAACGATATTACATGTAACATCGCCAGTAATGACATGGCCAAGGAACCGTGGTTAAAAAAAAGAGAACAAAACACTTCTAAGATTTTGTTTTAGTTTTTTGTTTATATAAGCTATGTTAGGTTTGTTTATATTTGAAAGGTTTGGAAGTAACAGTTTGGGAATATTTTAGGAAATACCGGTCACGGTAGCCTAGTGGTAGGGCGCTCGCGTAAACATAGGTAATGACTGTTCCTTTGCCAAACACCCGGCACTAGAAGTGAAAGTAGCAGGTCTTTCGAATGAGACCTTTAAAACCGAGGCCCCGTGTCACGGTAGGCGTTGGCACGATAAAGAACCCTCACTGCTCAATGGCCCTGAGTGTCGAGTATAGGTCTAAATTTGAAGCCCTTCGCCGGCATACGGTGACGTCTCTATATGAGTGAAAAATTCTCGAATGGGACGTTAAACAACATACAATCAAAAATCAATCAATCCTTATGAAATGCAAGGTGTAGAATTCAACTTGAAATAAGATGGAAGGCAAGATCGAACTTTTTTTTATGATGAAGAGGCAGTTCACCAGTAAATCAGGCAGCATTGTATGAATAGGCACCGAATGTGACGAATATTTGATACTTTATTGAAAAAGATATTAATGTTGTCCATATGGATAAATGTAATTAGAGATTTGTTTGAAAATTGCTTATTTACTAAAAAATCGATTTGTTTTGTGTTTTGTATTCCCCTATGTAAACCATTGAATGTAGGTCGAAAACAAAGAACTGTAAATTCTAATCCATTATCAACAGATCTATAATTCGCTCCGAACTAAATCTAGAAATATTTCATCCTTCAGTTTGACAAATAAAATCAGTGGAAAAAATATTTTCAATAGTAATTTTCTTGCAAAATAGACGGTCGTTTTTAGGAAATTCTGTTATGTAAGAGTTATCTCCCGCAGCATCGGGAAATCGGCTAAACACCTTAATATCAGAATCCCAGTGAAATATTTAGAACCGATACACTAAGGAATATTGTTCAACAAAAAATAATCCAAAGTTGTGCATTTTCGAAAAAAAAGGATCTCATGTCGATTAATTACGAATTCTGCCTCGAAAATACTATTCTCGGAAAATGGATTTTTCTAGAAAAGTTTGGGTGTTATATTTAATAACAGAAGGGGCTTCAAACAAACCTAACAATTTTCGCTAAATCAGGGGGCTTTAGGAGCAATGATTTCAAAGATCCGTCATCTTTGCTTCAAAATATTTAAAACGCTTTTTAATGACAGTGCCTCTATTGTAATCGACTACTGCAGCTTGTGCACAGGCAACTGAAGCATGGATAACATACAGCCTTAAACCCCCCAACCTAACTTCCAATCTACAATTCTCTATTTTCTTGTAAATTTATTTCTGATTTCTCAGTCCATTCCGTATGCAATCCTGTGCAATCGGTGTGTACTGTTATTTAAGTTCAAAATTTGGCAATACACATGGTATGAAACAAATGTTTTAAACAAACGGGGGTTTCCGCCCCGAGGCTGTTTTCTAAGGTTTTTACAATGTAACATATCATATGTTTACAAGCACCCTGTCTGGGAGATGTTTTCATGCTAGTCTCCTTAACATAAGCCAAATCCTTAGTGTCTTATATTCTGTATCAGATGGTTTATTAACAAATTTTCTCCATTGACAGCATTAAAGAAGGTTCTGATGTAATCCGATCTGTTACGCTTTATCTGATAAGTCAATAATTTAAATTATAACCTGTCGACCTATCAGATGGAGCGAAACAAAGTGATAAGACTAAAACTTCTACTGCCATGGAGAAAATTTAGAATAAATATAACGAATAACGAAATGATAACGAATAGTAATCATGCCTAAACGTCCAAATTTTGAGGAGAATGAACATAGATCCTCTGAAAGCATCAGTGTGGAATCAGTGGCCGTAAAAGAGTAAGCATTCTCTTAGGAGGTGATAATTGTATTGGGAGTTTGCCATCATTGTCTCTCTCTCATAAATAATCCAAATATGAAAGAGTTCTGTCACACTCCCTGGTGTCTTTTATTTCGAGTTCAATTGGAAATATCGTATCAACATTTGAATAAAAAATAAACTTCGATATATCTAAATTTCTACTTGAACACTAAAGCAAAAGAGTTTATGTAATTTTTTTAATTAATTCTGATTTATATTAATACAAAATGATCTTCTAATTATGGGGAGCAAATCGTACCTTTGGGAATTCACACAGATTGTTTGAAATCCTGATTACAGGAAGAAACAAGTCAAATTGATGCAAAGCATCAAATGGGTCGCAAAAATATATTAAATCATTTTGAAGTATTTCCTCATGAAAGAGTCCATAGAAAAAAATCCAGTTAAAGAAAAGTAAATATATGATACATTTTTACATTTGCTTTACTTTTCTGTGCATTTTTTCCTCTCTTTTTTTCACACTTGATAATTTTCAGTGATCAATTGTTAAATATTTATCAAAAGGAATAAGTTCATTGATATGACAATCGGACTGAGATAAAGGATAGGAATGTATTATCATCAATAATATGTGTATGTAAAGTGTCACTTCCAACGGTAGTGTATTCAAAACAAAGAAGATGGGCGAACAAGGCGAGCGCCATGCCTATAGTGCGACAAAAATGAATATGAAAAATTAAGGTCAAGATCTAGTAAATGAAGAGTGCCTACAGATTTTTCAAATCTTAGAAATAAATTCTTTTAATAATCCATTAAAATTATAGCTCAAAAAATTAAGGTGTATCGGGACATATCTTAAACTGCCCTTTTCAATGAAAAGTGGAGAAAATCAGGTTTAAGAATGGGAATTTTCTCCATCTCAGACAAAGAAAATGTATCAATATTGCCTACAGTCTCTCAGAAAACGGTTTTTCATATCTTCTTAATTGAATATAGGTATCACGGTTCCTTTTGACATATTTTCAAATTGAATTCCAAGAAAATCCGCTATTTTCTACATAATTTTAATCCCTTAAAGTACGGGAAAATGTAAGTTTAAATCAATTATGACCTCATAATGTATCTAGCACCAAAAAGACTGTCTAAATTCATTTCCTATATCTTGACCTTAAATCTCAATTACAGCAATTTTTTGTTCTGATATTTCATCTGTGTAAAATCTCCAAAATTTGCAAAAATCTCACAAAGATTGATATCATTTACCTATAAAATAGCATACACACACTAAAAAGTGCAAAAAGGATAATTTTTTCATAATAAAACACAATTTTTCTATATGAGTGGGTCTTCCCTCTATTTTTTTGAAAGTTTATCCTCAAAGTTTGTGTAAAAATATACATATTTTGGTTAACAAAAACATTGCACAAAGACCCACTATGCCTTAAAATACCTCATAAGAAGGCGACATATGTATAACGAAAAGGATTTCTTTATTCTTTGCTCTAATCTTGCTTTTCTCGTTTCAGTCAACACAGTGCAATCTAAAGAAGGAGAAGCAAGAAACATTTCATGGACAGCTGACTATTTTCCGCAAAGTGGACTTTACTTCATATTTCATGTCTATAAGGGTTCAGCCTCAACAATATTACGGATATCTAACGCTGGTCCGGCATCACCATCAAAAAAGTATGTATATCATACCCGACCTTTTAATTCTACAAAGATACTTTTCGAGGTGAGAAATATAACGGTAAAAGATGCCGGATATTACGTAGGAAGTCCTACAGAGGCAAATGCTTGGTCAGAAGGAAGAGGAATTGTTCTCGTAGTTTCAGGTAAAATCCTTTTTAACATTTAGATGTTAAATGAATTGATAGTCACATTCCTTGGGCATGCTACAAGCAAATTTTTATCAAAGTAATTTGGTTGTTTTTCCTGTTGTGCGAAGCCAGTTTCACAGATTCCTTACTTTTTAAGAGGTTGTTATTAAAACAAATTAGGATTTTTATATTTACTGAAAAAAAAATGACTATAATGAACGGTAATTACAAGAAGATGGAACGGTGTATTGCAGTCAAAATTAACATTTCTTTCCTGTAATCACTAGCGTTTTCATATTTCAATTCAGGAAAGCCAGAAAAACCTATTATAACTGGAGACCAAGACGTTAAGGTGAGGTACAACGCCTTCTTAAAATGTGAAAGTAAATCTACGTCTGCCCCTGACTATTACAAGAATTTTCCTCCATTATCATATTTATGGTTTGTCAACAACACCAAGCTAGACAGAGAGGATAGAGAGACCTACAGCTTTACTGTCACCAAAGATGTTAAATACAACCGATATAGCTGTCAGGCAAAAGAAACTCTTGAATCAGAGAGAAGTGAAGAAATTCGAATAAACCCATTATGTGAGTAATAATTGATCGTTTCTGGTGATAGAAAACTTCTTAAATTAAGATAACACTATCTAATAAATACTGAATATAATATATACATTAACTGCTGATTAATGGAGCAATGAACAATTTCAGAACAGGTGTAGCTGTATAGATAGAGGGGATTCAATTCAATTGACAACCAGGAAAGGTTTATTTGCACAAATAAAGAGTGATGTTTATTTATAGTTGGTTCTTTCAAAGAAGTCGACCAATATATACGTTTATAGACAAATTGCATAACGCTTTCATTCGAGCTGAAAAATTTCCCTCCCTGTTATTAGTGTTGATAATGTTGTAGAGGTGGGATGGGGTCAGATGTAACATTTAATAAAGGATGGCAATATACATTTATTGACTGGGTTCGAGGGCAACATGCGTTTTGTCGGAACCTAGAACCAAACTGTTTGCCTAAGGCTGTTAGGTTCGAGGGGTCGACAAAAAGCATTTTGCCCGAGAACACAGTCAATAAATGTTTTGTTATACGCAGCACAGTTAAGGCTACATAAAGGGGGTGGAGCCTAATTTGTACGGGAAATGTTAACTATGACATCATACAAAACCAACAATTCTTAAAAACCCTACAAAATGAAATAATTTACTATTTTAAACTATAGGAAACCATCAAACTACATCTAAACTTACTATAAAATGCTGTTTTGTCTTTAGTTAAATTCCACATAGCAAGGTATAAACAAGTCACTGATCGCGATGCACTTGTCGATGTGACGTCATTTCGTAAAACCTGACGCAGTTTGTATGCAGTAAGTGGCGGATCAAGAAATATTTTCACAACAAAAAATGCATTCTATAATTAAATAAAATATTATTCAAGGATATTTAAGAGGCAGTTAACTTGGAGGCAATGTCTTCTTTATGATTTTATTCGTATATATTCCGTATATTTCCTATTTAATTGATACTGCCGTATATTTGTATCCAAGTACATCGGAGGGTAATGCAAGGGTCTTAATAAATCGATCTAGTGCAAGGGCATACACTCAGTGGATCACAGTAAGCTTTTACATATAAACTCTAGAAGTATTAAAGTATCTGAAAAGTGCTGCGATCCTGGTGAAATCTTGAAAATGAATTAATTATATCTATATTTAATGCCGTTGACCAGCAAAAAATACAGAATGTGGTCATATAAATTTGATTTTAACAATGAAATAGCAGAATCTATAGAGGATCACAGCACTTTTCAGAAACTACGATGCGTGTTGAAAGTATTTATACTCTAAATTTAGAATTTTAACTTGATTATGCCCTTGCACTAGTGAAATTTATAGGTGACCTCAATACTGCAAGTGTATGTGCTATATCACGTGTCTGCCGCATCACGTGACAAGTCCAAATATAAAATCTTATCCTCCTCAATATGTAGTTATTAACCATAAAAACATTTGTCGGATATCAATAAAGTACTGAAAAGAATCGCCATCCTGATTGAGAATATATTTTCAATGGCAAAATTTGCCGATATTTCCATTGCGCACCTTAACTGTACTGCGTACCTTTTATTATTAAGTTTGACATAACTTGATGTAAATTTTGTTTACCCGCACTGCGGTTTAAACTTGATCAGTTCCGTAAAGTTCTGTCGAACTCCAACGAATGCAAATAAGAAACAGCTGATCCCATCCACACTGTAACGTAAGTGGTCCAACATCTCATCGACAGGTCCAATATCTCGCTCTGCGGTCAAACATCGATTTTTTATGACCGCTCAGTAAAACATTGGAAATGTTAGACTTTTTTAAGTATAGCATTATATAGGATATATAAGAAACAAATTTTAAAGGTATAACAATTATATTTATTTGAAAAAAAATCAATGAAATTTTCTAGAAAGCAAGCTAATTGATCTACTTATTTCAAAGATATGTTTTTCAAATTTTATGAAATATGCTGAAACAAACGAAATATGAGGTTGCTTAAGAGTTTTCTAATGTATAATATGGGTTGAAGCAAAATACGTTTAATAAACTGCAAAGAGGTTTTATTTAAAAAAAAAAGCGTAAACTGTTCAAACCCAGGTTATACAAGTACAAGTAAGGTAGCTATAGAATGTATTCCCTATAAATTAACTATCTTTAAATATAAAGAAGACAATTTTACTTTTATTTATGCCTGAAAAACTGTAAAAACTTTAAATATAACGTCAAGCGGATTGACACTTCTTGAGCCTAAATCAATGTGACGTAGTCAACATTTGTTGTCCATTATAAACATTTTTTATTATCCGATCAAATGTGTCCTTCTACCAAATTCGAAATATATTCAATTAAATTGAAAATATTGACTGCCTCTACTTAGAGTGAGACGAATGACCTACTCTGGTTGATTCACTTAGAGTTTCTGGTTGACAACAAAAATCACATTTCAAGATTTTGAAAAATGCTTGGCAAGGCTACATAAGTAATAAATGTATATTTCAAAAACTTATTTATCTTCACAGATGGTCCAGAAAGAGTTGTAATAATCCCCCAGCCGCCTGATGAAGGGTTAAATGTTCATGACCGGGAAACATTTGGTCCATACACCTGTTCAGCTGACTGTAATCCACCATGTACCCTACAATGGAAATTTAAAACTTTGTCAGACGATTTCAAAAACGCTACATCCATTGGCGACTCTTCAATTACTTTACCAGAGCAAACGGCAAATAGATCTAGTATGGCATCAATTCGATGTGTAGCAAACGGCAAAGAGGGTCGCAAACCATTAATCATCAAGCTAAACATTCAGTGTAAGTATATTAATCATCAGCGTCTTTAAGATGCAAAATGTTTACATCACTAAAAATAAAAGATTATCGGTGGTCTTAAGTAAAAAGGAAACTTTTAAAATCCTCCAATATTTTGAAATCAGAAAGAAAATTTTTGGTTTCCCTCTTTTCTTCAAAGGCGTAAAATTGTTTAACTTCTCATTAAATATTTTCTTAAATACATGTAATTCAATTAAAAAAAAATATGGTTTAAGGACAGATGATACAAACTTTTTTTTAAAAAAAATCATGAACAACTAAACCATGTATATTTAAATAAAATGAATAATTCTAACTGCATATATTTTAATTTTTCATTTAAGGTTTCACAAATAATGTCCTACTAAGTGTTAAAAAAGTTGTATAGATTTATAAGGATAATTGCAAAGAGATAGAATTTTGAATATCGTGGAAAGTTTACAATTTCTTTATATTTTGGAATTTTAATATTCACATCATTCACAATCAAAATAGGTCCAAAAATATGCATCAATGCAGACATCATTTTTTTTTTTTTGTTTCATCTGTCCATTAATAAACTATTTTTATGCACAAATTTGCAGTTACGATTGTTGAAGTTTTACATTGATTTTTTAATTTAATTTATAACAAGAAAAGTCTTGAGCTATAATTTTGATAGGTTAGTCATATCCAGTTTGAAAAATAGCTTTACATGTACCTTATAATTACTTTAATTAGATACAGAAATAAATGATTTAAAATCATTTATATATTAAGAGAACGGAATCAATATTATACAGTTGCTGAATATTTGCTTTAAACGAAGTTGAAATTAATTAGACATTTAAAATAATATACTCTATTGCTTTAACGGAACAATTTATTTATTGTATAATAAACCTTTTTTAGACTTATTGGTTCCTAAAGTATATTTAAATGGGAGCCTACAAAATGCCTTAACTGTGAAGGAAAGAAATCCTCTGCTTCTGTCGTGTTTTGTGGATGGAAATCCTACTCCAGAAGTCACTCTCCGAAAACTCACCAGTAACGGCATCCTTCAGCAAACAGTCAGTTCCTGGTTAAACTACACCCCGAACAGAGAAGCCCAATGTTCTGACACAGACATATACATCTGTGAGGGACACTCTTCTGAGTTTGGAAGCAAGAATCAGTCATTCAGTATCGAAGTTCTCTGTAAGTATAGTTTATTATCGAAAACATTTCTGAGTTATTTTTTTCAATCTGAGTATTAACTTTCAAATGCAAATATTTTCTAATGAATGAAAGAAGATATAAAGAAAATATTAAAACGAAATAAGAAAGGAAATACAAATACTTATCTTTTTCTTCCTTAGCATTTATATGTTTTAATGAATGAAAAATTCAGATATTTATGAAAGCTCAGTGAATTTCCTGATTCTGACGTTGCAATTATATCACTTTTCACACTATTTACGTTTGCTTCAGTCGCCCTTGTGGCGCAGTGGTTAGGCAAAAAAAAAAGTAATCAATAGTTTCTCAGGCACAGCCGCATCAGGTCAAAAACTGCCGCATTGATCAATTTTATTGACAATTTGAAAAGGGAAATAACTCAATTTTCTATTATTCCAAGTTGAAAAAGAAAATTGAGTCATTCCCCCTTTCTTTCATGAAGAAAGATAGACTTTTTTTTTTTTATCAGATAAACAATATATTTCTTCTAAATAAATACATATTTTTTTAAATTAACTTTTAAACAAATGTTTGGAATAACATAAATTAATGTTGAGTATATATTATAATTGATGTAAGAGAACAAAAAGTAAAAATCAATTGATATCATCTTGATTGACTGACAAGAAAGAAATATTACTTGCTCTAAAAATAAAGCCTTCCTGCCGCATTGAATTTTGAAATTTTTGGCCTACGAAACTATAAATTAATTTTTGGGGCCTTAGAGCATTTGCTGTAGAGTCGCGGAATGAGGAATTGACCCTTACATCCCACTGCGAACCGTACTAAATGAAACCGAGCTCCCGTGTCGCACTAAATGAATCCCTCAATGGCCCTTATGCCAAGTATAGGTCTGAATTTGCAGACTTCTACCGGCAAGTGACTGCGTCTGAGTATGAGTGAAAAATTCTCGAAAGGGATGTGAAACAATCCAACAAACAAACAATCGAACATACGTTTGCTTAAAACCTATGTTTTTTTTTATACATGTATACATAGAAGAGTAAAGATATGTTAAACACATGCTCATGATCAGATGACAAAAATATATATCATACATGAATCTTTGTTTTATTCTTACATGTAGGTTTAACCTAATTATGCAATTTGACGATGTGTTGACGTATGTTCAACATATTTTTTGAATGATTGACAAACTATGGTTTGAAATATATTTTAAATATTCTGCCTAAAATTAAATTTCACATGACCTAATGTTGAACAAATTTATATTTTTGTTAAAAAATGTTATTTACTGTTCTGCGTAATATGCAATTTTATATTTTGATATTTAAGGTGAACCTCGGCTTGATGAATCCGTATCACCAAGAAATAACTATGGGTCCAGGATTGGGCCGGATATTAAAGTTTTTGTGAGTTTGCCTGTCATCGCTAATCCTTTAACATCCTCAAAAGGGTTGGCTTGGTTAGGACCGACACTACAACCAATAGAGACTAAAATCTCACAAAGAGATAACGTTATTTACAAACACTGGATCAACAGCACCATCCCTATACCGGATCAGGGATCCTTTGGAAACTACTCACTGATTTATAAAGGAAAAACTATCGCTGACATTACAATTAACGCCGAAGGTTGGCTTTTTAAATAATGAGCATGGATCTTAACCTCTAGTATTTTATCATTTCTGTTAAAATTAAATCGATGTTTTTATCTGCTGAAAAATATATATCCTTTTTCAAAGATTTTCCTTCTTTATTAACATTTCATTCACTTTGTAACATCTTTCCAAAATTTGTTATTGAAACTCTTCTTGTAATAATAATTTTTTTGACCATGGATAGTGCGCAAGAACCTACATATTTCTCTTTGCTTCATTTTGTTAGATAAACCTCAGCCACCTTTGAACTTCACGGGATATTCCTACGCTACCGGATACATCAATCTTACCTGGTTATCAAACTTTAATGGAGGACCAGAACAATTTTTTATCTTATCAGTTAAAGAGGGCTTTAATTGGGCAATTGTTAAAAATCTGACAGACCCTGGGGAAGGGAATATAGGATATATTGACCAAGGACCTTTAATCTCAGGAAAACAATACTGGTATCGGCTGGACAGCTGTAATAGAATCGACTGTTCTTCAAGACCTGCTGAAGTAAAAGTCACAGTTCGAGGTTATTCTTGTATTTTACTATTTATATACTTACATCCGCGGTTTTTTATTCATCTTTACCACTTTCATCTACAAAAATTCACATAACTTACAATAAAAAAGAATCCTTGCAGCTTTATCCAGTTCATTGTCCAAGTCAAACGACACAGCAATCGTGATTGGTGCTTCTGTGGCTATTTTTGTCTTTGTTGTTGTACTGGCTATTATAGTGGCGGTATATTTAGTAAAAAAGAAAGCCCAGCAGAGAGAAAAAAATGAAAAACGATTGAGTGAATGTAAGCAAGATTTATAACTTTGAAGTTTTTTATAAAATGCTGTGTTTTCTAAACGTAAAAGCATATCACTGTACATTTGTTTTGTGCAAAGAGAGTTATACTCTTGTTTTTTGTTGCACTGTAAATATATGTGTTTCGGAAATATTACTCACCCTCTTCAATAATTTTGGTCAAATTCATTTTTCAGCCATAAAAGACGATAACAATCAGCCTGATGTTGTTGTTTACGCTGCTGTTGACAAGAGTCTTCTGATGAAAAACAAACAACAGGCTGACGTAGTGAAGAGTGATGTTATCAAAGATCAAAATGGTGCGTTTCCTACCTCTCGCTGCCCCATCTCTCACCGTATCTCCTCTTCTTTTAATAATTTCTTTGAAAAATTCTCAAATTCACTAGAGTAACCCAGGGTAAGGAGCATTAAATGCAAACGAGGAGCAGAACGGTTTTTCAAATGATCATCAAATGGTGCATAGTAATGGTAAGATCTTCTTAAATGCAAAAAAGTCAGTAGAAAAATAGCAACGTCAATCCAACGTGGGATGCTTTTTCCTCATTGGCACTTGATGCCACATCTGATATTTTAAGAGGTCTGTGTTTGCTCTGCTCACAAATGATATTGTAACAATGGGTTTTTGAGCTTGATTACCGTTTATCGTCTCCACATTTCACATTCCTTCGTATTTGCGAAGTACGTAACGTCCATTGACGAATTATCGAAGTTTTTTTCTTCAAAATAGACAATTACCGTTCACGGTAGCTCAGTCGGTAGAGCGCTCGCTCCGTGTTCGGTAGGTCCTGAGTTTGGATCTCGGCCGCGACTGACCAAAGTCGATAAAAAATAGTAGCGATTGTTCCTTAGCCATGCACTCGGCACTTTGAAGTGAAAGTTGCGGATCCCTCAGATGAGACCTTAAAAACCGAGGCCCCGTGTAACAACAGGCGTTGGCACGATAAAGATCCCTCCCTGCTCAATATCCCTGAGTGCCGAGTAAAGGTCAAAATTTGAAGCCCTTCATCGGTATATAGTGACGTCTCTATATAATTGAAAAATTCTCGAATGGGACGTAAAACAACACACTTAAAACAATCAAACTAGACAACTAAAAGCCCTCTATCATCAGCCTAAGTAGCCTGCCTCGCTCTTAAAACCGATTGTACACAGAAAACGATATTGCTAACTAAAGACATTTATATCAGATTAAGTAATACTACATAAATATGAATCATTGAGTTTTGAAAATGTAAATATTGTCCACTTTATCGGTCAAATTAGTTTTTAATTTGTCATGCAAGGGTTCATAACTAGTAAAACATCAAAATACTGTGAAATCAGTCATTTGGGATGCGGTTTATTTTTTTGTTGTTTTCGTGGTAGGGAGATACACAAAATTTATGTACTCAACAAAATAATAAAAATTCAAATTGAAGTACACATGTATTAAGTTTTTCCCCTACCACGAATTCAGATATGCTTACTTCAAACTTCGAAAGTTTGACCCCGCTAAAATAAATGATTTTACATAAGGGCAGCTTATAGTGATATATATATTGAGTCAACATGCAGTAGAATATCCTTCAGATAAAAGACGATAACTATATAATAACACTTTGGATATATCAATTTGAAGACCACAACTACAGTTTTTTTTTTCTAAATAAAATTGCTACACAGAAAAACAAACCAAATATGCTTATAAAGGAACAATTTATTCCAGCCATTATCGCATTGTTCTGCTATTGAAAGACGGAAAGCTTCGCATGTATGGCTTGCTAATTAACATGATTTAAAGGAAAGAATACAACGACTGCAATAAAGTAGAATTTTGTGCTGAAGTCTGTATTTAGAAATAAAATCTGTTAAGCTACAAACGTCATATTCACTTTTAATTTCTACGTCATTAATGTATACAAGCTATATAGAAACCTCTGCTTCCTTTTTGGTCATCAGACATAGACGCAGAATAAAAGCTCAACTAACATTTTATTGCTTTTCTGAATCTTCTTAATCTGTGAATAAATGTACTTATACGGTTTGAACCATCCAAGTATCTTCTTGCGTCAGTATTTTATGATACCTGTCTAGGACTCTTGATTATTTGGTTAAAATCAGATAAGATATACTGGCAGCTCACTCCTTATGATCACTGATATTGAAAAAAAGTATCTTCTTTGTGCAACTGGGATCATATTTCAGGCAACCTGGAACTCTCTATTGACTTTTTAGCCTTGCGGATACCAATTTTCAAGCTCACCTTTGAAACCAATAAACATCAGAAGTTTATATCTGAAAAATTTTGCTAGTGACTTAAGGATATATCCCAACGTAACCCAGGGTAATCTAGACAAGGTTTAAGTCACAAGTTTTAAAAGGGAAAGTGAAATTCCTTCATGGCCTTAGTATGGTTTGCTTGGAATGACGAAGAGAAACCTTGTATTGTGATAAGGAATCTTAACATATATATCATTCCCAAATCTGATCAGTGGAATTTTTTTCAGGATTCTTAATAAAAGTAAAAGTAAAGCAGACTTTGCATTGGCTTTGTCAATAGTAGGACTTTTCTTATAAAAATTACGTGAGAAAGAGAAGTATCATGTACATGTGCTTCTATTTTTATAACATACGGTAATCACGACCGATCTCCTCTAGCTGGTACAAGGGTTGCTTCAGAAGGAAGAGAGTAAATATTCTCATGAGATTTAAAATGATTACAAACATGCTACATGTATTTCTTTCTTTGATATTATTCAGATGAACGTGAAAACGTATATTCTAACACAGAAGAGGCTAAATTACTCTCCAATTCAGACGGAAAGAGAGAAAATAAAAAGAAGAAAAAGAGAGAGAAGACGCATCAGGAAGCCCAGGACGAGACAGGGGCAACTTATGGAAACGTAGAGTCAAGGACTGTGGTAAGACATTTACAAGTAATCAGAGACACTTGTTGGAAAGAAACAGCTTGTAAAAGATACTTGTAAAAAATTATACAGTAACTTGTCAGACACATTTGTAAGAAGTTAACCAACAGCTTGTCAAAAACACTTATTTATAGGTTTTCAAAGACATAATTAAGAAGGTTACAGCTAGTCAGAAGCATTTTGTAGAAGGTCACAGCTTGTCAGAGATACTTGTAAGAAGTTTATAGATAATCAGAAATATTTTTGAAAGTTTTTTTTAGACGTATTCAGTTAGCTAGGGTGTTAGAGTAGTCAGAAACAATGTTAAAGAGCTTAAACTAGTCAGTGGTAGTTGTAAACGGTTGACTGAAGTAAAACGTGTATAACTATTTGCGAATTCCCTCTGTAGACCTTTGCCTCTTGGATTTAGGATTAATTGAGAAATCGCCTTTTATGATACAAACCTAAGTTTCCTGCAGGCTCTCAGTGTACTTGGCTTCAGGGCTCTAATTGGCGACTAAATTAGTCGCCATGGCGCCTAAAATTTTTGATTGGCGCCTAAAAGTTTTCCATAAGTCGCCTAATTGGAGACCTCTTTAAATTTACTTGGCAATCATCGAATTCCTGAAATTGTAACATTTTTAACAATTTTTATGAAAAAGCGATTAACTTTTAAAGTTGGCGCCTTAAAAAATTGCCTGGCGACTAAACATTTGCATTGGCGACTGAATTTTTTTTATAAGGCGTCAGCTGGCGCTTAAATTTTAGAGGTCACTTAGAGGTCTGCTTGGCTTATGTAATATCTCTATTACTTAAGTGTTTTTTTCTCACTAAGAGAATCGTTTATCTCGCAAATACTTTATCAGATATAATTATTGATATTGTTTGATATGGTTAGATTTATTTCTTATTTATGAAGGAATAAACCTTGACGTAATATTTTTATATGCAGACGCCAGCGCATTTTCTCTTGCAAGAAAATTGAAGGGAACTAAGAGTTTTTATATCAGTTCATACAAAAAATTGAAGGAATGTAAAGTTTCTATTAGAGATATATTTGACGATTCCTTTTTCGATCCCATGTGTTCTATTTCTGTCAAAAACTGTAAAACTATTTTGATTACTAGCTCTTCGTTTACTGGTAATCTTTCTGGAAGGAGCTTCTATACCAATACTTTGGAAAATCTGAATTGCAAATCTTCTAATGTTGTCTGCGGAATAGAATGTACCCCTTGTGGGCTTATTTATGTTAGTGAAACCAAAGGCTCACTTAATAAGGGAGTATCGGGGCATAGATTTTCCAAATAACAACGGGAACCAGCAGCTTCTATATAAGCATTTTATTTTACCTGATAATTATATTTTATCAATGAAAGTTAGAATTCTAGAAAAGATTTACCATCATAGTAATAGCTAATCAATGAGTACACTTTTCCGTAGACAACAAGAAGAATACTGGATTAGAAAACTAGGCACGGCCTTTCCATATGGTAGCAATGACAACGTCGATAGTGTTGGGAATCTTTCAAGCCCTTAGTTTTAAACATTACACAGAGACGTAAGCTTAGTAATGGACATCGGTCTTACAAGAAACCTATTATACACTATATCTCCTTTGATTCACTACTGACTTATGCAAAAAAAAGTTAGACCTTCATCACATTCGCACTACGCATTACTCTGTCCGTTTGAAAGTTTTGAATAGTCTATTTCGCAGTACAGTTAAGGCAACATTTTCTACAAAAAGGCACTGAAAACAAGAAACTTTTTCAACCGTATTATTTTCTTGCATGAACCTCTGTTTGAAATATCTTTGTGTCTTTTTGAAGAGTTTGTCCTTCTCTTTCAATATTGATATTTTTTGGTCATCATGTGACCCTCGATAGTTACGTGGACTCCCATTTAACTCAAAAATAAAATATCGAAATTAACGGAAAAGTTCAAGGGCAAGGCAAAGAAATACTACACTGCACAATGTTTCAATGTATCCCTAGGTATCCATCCTATCTCAAAAATAATGCTCATTTAGTCAGATTTTTGGTATTAATAAGTTATTCTATAAAAAACAAAGACCGGTTTTTAAAAAATGAGGTATTTTCCACATTTTATGGGAAATGGTAC